CCATCTCTCCTCTGTCTTCGTTCACCGCCACATGCAACAGAGTGTCGCCGTAGCCGTTGATCGGTTTATCGTGAATAATACTCACATTGCTTTTGTATATCATCAGAGCTCCATCCCAATCACCTTGTAGCGTGGAATGGTATAAACTGTGCGTCGTCATCAGAACATCCATATCAGAATCCATATGTTGCATTTTGCCCTGATGCGCGAAGCAACACAACGTGACTGTGTGTGCGCTAAGATGGTGGCAGTGGTTGGTGGTCACTTCGCTCCCAAAACTCGCTTTTTATACTGCTCAACTGGCGACTGCTCCCATGTGTGTATGTACAGTACATATGTATATGGAACACGTTGTTTGCCCTTTCGAATGAGACGGATTCTCTCCAGCCCTTTAAAAAGTGTGGTGGCATAGTAAAACATAAACCCAAAAATATAGTACGTAGTGTGTTAAGCATAGCTTTGAGAGGTGAACCAAGAGATAATCTGAGCACACCTAAACTTAGTGATTCTGTTGAGGTTGATAATTCCTTAATTATATATAATCAAATAAATACGTGTCGGAAAGTGTGAGCGCACATATTTTAACAGTGGCTCGATACTGACAATAATAGTACTCTTCCTACACACACCGACACGCACCGCATACCCTCTACTAGATTAATCTCACCACCTTTTATTATGTGAGCTGTCATTTGAGTTAAAGGTTCTTGGCATACATTTTTAATTATTTGAAAATTAAAAAAATATAAAAGAAAAGCTTAACAAAAGAGAAAGGTGGGAAGAACAACTGGCTGTGAATATATACGTACGTATGTCATCCTTCCTCGAAGTTAATTTGTTCCAATTTCGTCAGAGACAATGCTATTTCTTTCTTTTTTAAAAAAAAAAATCTTCGACTGCGAGAAGTAAATTTGTAATAATAATAATAAATTGACACCACTTATATACTCCCTCTGGTCCTTTTTATAAGAACCAAAAATTTGAATTGCCTTGGTCCTTTTTATGAGAATCCATTTAGAATTGTCTGAAACATTAATGTATTTTTACCATTTTTTCCTAATTAATTTTGTACATTGTGTTAATTAAAAGGTTGAAAATTCGGCATATTATCTTCTCTTTCATACTTCTCTCATTATTATTATATTTCTCTATCTTACTTGTCCCCTCATAAATAAGGGTATACTGGAGAAAAAAGTTTATTTTTTATATATTTATTACTTTTGACTGATTTTAACTGTTTTCTTAAACTGTGTAATTTAATTATTAGGCTCTTATAAAAAGTACCGGAGGCAGTATAGTTCTCAACTTGCCTTAAGCTTTAATGGCTGTATTAACAATTAAAAAAAAAAATATGTAGAATCGAATGCGTGTTGAGTTTAAAAGACTAACATCCGTACTAAATCTTGGGTGGGGTTTCATTTGACTCTTTTTGGGATATGCAAGTAGTTTAAACTAGCTTCTAATTCATACGTGTCGGCAAAGAGTGTTTTCATTCTCAATTCTTAAGTCAAATGTGCGTTCCAATGGCATATATATTTTAATTTTTTAAAAGCTCCCTACTCCCTACTCATTCTTTTTAATTCTTTTCCCTCTTTTTTAATATAATAAATTGTCCATGCTTAATTAATAATCAAGTGCCTCCCCCTTTTGCCCTCTCAAATTAGCAATCTTGAAAATTACAAAATTGATATCCTCACTTTGGACAGAACCTTTCGCTTTGCCCTGTGGAAAGCACCAGCCAAATATACCCATGCGTTTCACCCCACGCATAATATCTTTTTCTCCTCTTTCATTTTTATTTTTAAGTTGGGTATTAAATGTGATTTAACAAGGTTGAAAGAGTGGTTTATCATTTTATGGACTAACACCTTTTATTAGACCAAATTTCTGTTAATCACTACTAATATTCCTTAATTCTTAGTCACCCGTCACTTTAGAAAAAATCAATGCATCTTTTGTCTTATTCAAGGAGGAAGGTTGGGGGCGCATTATTGAATAAATAATAGTGAAAAAATAGGCCTCATATTTAATCTTATCAACTTGTATCGCTTTCTCACTTTTGGCATATGATAAGAGGCATATTTTTGTAAATTTTACGTTTCAATTTGGGCAAAAATATATAAACCATTTCTCAAAACTTTTTCCAGAACCATAAATAAGTAAATAACTCACTATAAAAAAAACATGTGATTAATGACGAAATTTTTATTTAGCGTTTTGTTGGTAATCAGCAGTTTTTTTTGTAGTGCTCCCTTCAGGTCAAATTATACTTTCGTGAAATTTAATTTATTTATTATTTTCAATTTTTTACTCAAAGCCTCCTTGCTGTTCATCCTATTAACACCGTTTGCGATATCACAATAATGAAACACACATGGCATTTGATATGAAAACGTATTTTATTTTATTTTTCAACACAACTGTAATTTTAAGAAAAGAAAACGCATTATCTGAAGAAAAGAGCGACGGACGAAACCATAATATGACTTCCGATGCTCTCACTGTCCTCACGTCTTCATCAGATGGTCCCTGGCATTAGAGAGGCTTGGATACAAATATTTCTTTATTTTCTAAGCTTTTTTTAAACATCTTATTATTTCATCTGGCAATTATATAATTACTATCAAATGGTTAATTTCCATAAGATGTCTTATGTTCTCTATTAATTTCACCAGTCAGTTTCTGTTTAAAAGATAACAGAGTTAACATGGAGGTCCATGGTTTAAAAATAAATAAATAAAGACTCAAGCAGATTAATTTTAAACTTTAAAATATTAGGGGTTATATGTATTTAAGCTTAGGAGAGGCGGCTTATATATGTTAGCTTCCAATTTATAAAACATTCGGTAAAATGTTAAAGAGTTCGTAATCAGTGTGCTTATTTCGAATATAATGTCTCTAACAAATAAAAAATTACTTAAACTCCATTAATATAGTTCATTCCCTATTGAGAAAATCAACTGTTTTTAACAAATATGTTTGGAAGTATGAGAATGTTTTATAGACATTAATCGATTAGGTGTGAGTTACTTTAAATTGCCTCTTATAATAAGTGGTTGAGTACATGTAAGAGATTTAATCAATCATCAATTAATATAATACTCGTACTAAAAGTTGAATGGATCCATGCCTTAGCAAATAATTAATTAAATAGTGATTAATTAACTGCTTCATAGATATTGATTTGGTGAAAATGCTTAGCCTTTTGTGGGGGCTCGGTGATTGTTCATTTTTGTTGGATAATTTACTCTGCAGACCCCTGATATAGGACCTTTTAAATTGGTCATAATTACTTAAAATATCCTTGTTTATCTTAAAGTATTTAGAAAATGGAATTCACTCACTCTTTTAGGTGGGTAGTTTTAAAAAAGAAATTGTTACTTATTTTTAGAAAATTAAGATTACCCGATCTCAATTTCTCACCTTAATCTAACCTTTCATGTCTCGCTTAATCTAAGTTTGATACAAGCTATCGTATCTGAGAAAAAACAGAAACAGTAGTACGTAAATGATTTCTTTATTTAATTCAAAAACCACGACGAATCACTTACATTGAGGCTGCGTGCTCACGTTAACGAGGTTTATAATTCCCCTTTAATAAACAAACAAGCACAAGGAACACAAATTGGTGGAAGGAAAAGCAATTATTGAATATCAGAAAATGCATAGGTTCCACTGGGAGGGGAACAAATGAACGAAAGAAAGGCGTGAATTTCCGTCGCTGGAGAAAAGATATAATCATACATGGCCAGAAGGGAGCGACTGAGGAACCTCTGTAATAATGGATTTCAAAAGATCCATGTAGAGCGGAAACTGTACGATTGCGTAGAAGGAAACAGGAAGGCAAGTGGCTGCATACAGAGGGAACACTGCTGTCTTGAATTTGTCCTCGAGCACGAAGAAATGTGCGGCGCAGAAAGATATAAGCATCGAGGCAATGGACACAAACAGCGAGCTCAAGCCCAGAAGAATCTTGAGGGGCAAATTTTTCTTAAAATCTCTGGGTAGTTTTCGAGAGGTGAGTATGGAAAGGAACATGATCAGTGCAGTGACAGAGAAGCAGAGCCCAATGAGTGCGGTGATAGCGAAGAGTTCAAATGCCGGCTGTTGTTCTAAGGTCGGTTTGCCAGTATCACCATTAGTCCCGCCGGGGACTTGGCTCGACGTTGCAAAGGAAACTCCGGCAACCAGCGCAGCCACCACCGAACAAGATTCAGACGTATCCTTAAGCCACTCGCCACTGTCTTTGACGAGAGTTTCATGACCTTTAGTGAAGATTTGTTCCGGAGTTTCGTCTTTTGCATTGCTAAGGGAAAGGAAGTGGTGTGGCGACAAGGATTTCACATACTGCAATAATAATTCAAATTTCATCTCAAGAAAGTGCATGGACATTGTGAGCATGGCACTTAGACATGCCTGCTTAATTGTAGTAAGTTAAATTACCTCATACCACTTGATTTCCCATTGCATCCGCATTGCAGTGCCATGAATCTGCCAAGGATGTAACCTGGATTCTTCATACTTGGCTGCTAAGTGCAATATAGTATTGTCATCGGTATCCACTGATTCAATGAGGTCGGCCCAAAGATTAAGCTTTAACTCTTTGTTTAACTCTTTGTTTACTCGTTTCTGCACTGCCTCAATAACCCTGGGTTGCCTGTTCTCCACTGCTACCTGCAATATATTTTTATCCTTTGATGTGGTTTCGTAGATGGACACCGGTAGTTGGCTTAGAATTTCGTTCACTACTTCAATTACGCCTTTCTGGGCTGCCACCAACAAGGGTGTGTAAGTTTCTGTCTCCTCATTTGAGTCCCGACCATTGCCTGCCATATCATGCACATACATAATATAATATTCAAATTCATCCATGCATCCATCAATACTATTTCTACCAGCTGGACATTGAATGTTTGTGCCTGCTTTATTCATTAATGCAGCAGAGATATATATCGTATGTTTAATTGATTTGAAACAGCTGAAAATTCAATCGACTATACCTTTTTGATGAACTTGAGCATTCGTTTGTGCATTTTGCTTTCTCGGATCAAATACCTTTCCTATTCCTGGGTCTCTTCCTTCAGTAATGTATGCTGTACTATGCTCTTCCATGAGTGTTTTCAGTATCTGAACACTCCATTCATGTTTTTCTTTCTCCTCCCTTATTTTGTTAACTATCTTCTCTGTCAAGTAAATTCTCTCATGAACAACATAAATTTTTTATAACTTATTTTATAATGATTAAATACTAGATTAGCAAACTCCTACATTTATATAAAATCTAAACTGAGCAAATATAATCCACGATTTGTAAATAGTGTATGTGGCCTCTTATGAATTTTAGATATAACAAGAGTAGTGCAAGAAATGAAACTTGAAGGTCGTATATGTATACCAAATCCCATGAAGCGGAACAAATTTAGGTAGACGGAGACCAGAACCTCATAACAGGTAGTATAATTCTGAGGAATATTTTTACTAATATGGGAGTTATTTGGAGCCTCTGGATCTCTTCCTTTCTCCTTTTCTGTGCACCAACAAATCAATAATGGATAATTAGATGTCAAAGGAAAATTCCGTCTCTGGTTTCAATCTACTAATTTCTTAAACTATATAGTGTCAAATATTTTTCATAGTATATTACAAAAAATTCTTTTATGTCTGTTGAAATTATAAAACAGTAAAACACACTCTTTAATGGAATTTTTACCAAAATGGCTTCCAAAAAAGAAAATACTCCTCCTGCCCTTAATCTAAGATTTAATTTGAGAGTTGATGTTAGTTCTATATGTAAGACATATGTTACATGTTTATCAGTTTTCCCCCAATTAAGTTAGCTTTATATATTAATATTCTCTCAATAATAATCAAGTAGAAGAGGAATGAAGAAAATTAAGAAAGATGATTAAGACGTTTTAGGAGAAAAAATGTCATATTAACTAATTTAATTAACATTATTAATCTACTCAAATTAGTTAATTAGATCTTAAATTAAGGACAAGAGGAGCATTAAAAATGGGCGAATTGATGAATAGCATTTTAACAAACAAAAATCCCAAAGAAGCTTTATATCCAATTTTGGTTTTTAATTTTTTGAGAAAGAAAAGGTAAGGCCAAGTTTCATGGCAAAAAAAAAAAAGACCTAAACAAAAAACCTTCTGACTAACACTTAGAATCAAAAACTTTAAACAATTTAATCCATATTTTGATGTTCGGAAAGTATAACTTTAAAGTCAAGAAGAGTATGAATTAGTTGGCTTTTACCACTTTCGCTGCCTCCTGATTTGCTCGTGGGTCCTCGCTTGTGTTTAATTTTACCCAAAACTGTCATATATATGTGTGTGTGAATATATATATATATAAGAGATAATTAATTGAATTACTACTACATGAGAAATTTTAAGTTGCAGAATTACCAAAGTAATTAATTTAATTACTACTACATGAAAAATGTTAAGTTGTAGAATAATTACCAAAGTAGCAAGCCTCAAAAAACTGATAACATGTCAAGTAGTTCTTGGGGGCTGGGCACTCGTGTTCCGATGTTTTGTCCGATATTGTTGAAGTGAAAGTACAATCTGGATCATATTTTAGCTTATCGACATGGACACCTGTCCTCAACAAAAAAAAACAATAATTATTTAGCACAAAGGCTCAAGTTATCAATTTTATTTTATTCCCCGCCCCGGAAAGAACAAAACACTATAATTGGATTGGTGTTCTACTTACAGTAGTATACAATTTGCTTACACCACGAGAGGCGCAGGCCGCTTCTGAAGGCAGAAGGTTTGCTGGCAAGGACATGAAGAGGAGTCATTCCCTTCTCATTGGATTTGCCCACAAGATCTGGGCACATTTTGATTATGTGGAATGCCAAATCTGCAAATGCATGTTAACAACACAACACAAATAATAATCAATTCATATATATCATCAAAGAAACCTAACAATAAATGATGGATTGCTCACCGAAATGCTCTCTCTTAATGGCAGCGTGAAGGGCAGTATCTCCACCACCGGCTCTTCTTCTAAGAAACTGATATGGTTTTTCTTTGTCTTGCAAATATGCTTTTTCAGCAGCATGGTAGAGGAAGATGAAGGCAGGTTTACGGTTGTGAAGAGCCGCCGTGAAGATGGGCGTCTCGCCCCATTTGTTGGTAATGCTGAGCAAATGGAGACCCATGCTTTGTCCTGCCTCTGCGATACACTTGCACATTGTCACAGACTTTCTTGTGGCTGCGCGATGCAGAGGGGTTTCCCCTCTGCTATTCTCCATTTTCAGAGCTTTTTTGTTGGTATACTTAAGGATTGATTGTACCATCCTCTCCACAACTTCTTCTCTGTCATCACTGATTGCAACGTGCAGTGCGGTGTCTTTTGAGCTCGTGATCACAATGCACTGAACCCCCGATTTTGTTTCGTACAACTCCATGACCTTTTTCCAGTTACCTTTGAATGTGGACTGGGATAATTCAGCTTCGTCTTCGGCACTCACACCCGCTGGTGAAGCAGCAGCAAATGGAAAATCTTCGCTCTCTGAAGCTGCTGGCGATGTTGGAAAACCGGCAAATGGGGGGAAATCATCCATATCCATTTTTTCAGGTTTGACGATCGGGATGAATATGTATATGATGACCACAATGTTCACCACTTCAACTTGGATCCCGATTCAGGGTTATGTCATTTTATACCAAACTCTGCACTTGCACAATAACACACTAACAAAAAGAATCAACGCCAGATTACTTTGATTAGCTTCATAACGGAAAAAGATAAATAGGTGGGGACAACGTTAATTTGAATGAAGGTTAAAAGAAGGAAAGAAAATAAAGCGTGGCAAAGAAGCCATAAATGAAATCCGTATCTAACTTCACTTTTACAACATACACAATAGATAGCTTTCGTGTTTATGACATCACAAGAATCATAAAAAGCAAAAAGCATTTTAGCTCTCGCAAGTGGTGGGGGGGGGGGAATGCATGGAATAGAAGAGATTCATTCTAAAGTGACGGCCGACGTTCATATGTTTGAACAGATTACACTATTTTGACGTTAGTGCCGCTATGGAAGGCGGAGGGTTTTCTGGGCAGGATGTGCAGACGAGTAATATAATCCCCTTGTCATCCACATAGTCCACGTTCTGGTTTCCCTGCAGATTATGATGATTTGAAATGCCAACTCTGCCATCAACATTAATCAATTAACTCAACCATGTAAAATTATAAGTGTAAAAAAAAACCAAATCATGAATTCACGAATGATTTAGAACGAATATATAATTATAGATATGTTATCATAACAACAAAATGTGAATGTATAATTAATACGAGTTTAATTTTAATTATTTGGAATCAGCCAATGAAATTTAAAAGGTATGAGTGTGATATAAAGAGAAAAGGGTGAGATAGATAAAAGGAAGATCCAGGATTGGGTTTTTTTTGGGGGGGGGGGATTTTGAGAAAAAGATAAAATGTCATGCATATATGTGAAATATTTTACCTTAAAACAAACATATATTACTATACGCCAAAAAAAAGTTAGGGTAAAAGCACACGCAATGTTGTTTATACTTTATTAAATTTAAGTTTACAATCTTTTACATTATAAATTTTTTTAATAAAGTACAATAAATATAATAATATTATTATAAGTCATTGTAAAATTTTTATAAAAATAATTTTTTTCATCCCTCAACTTTTAAGTCACTTATAACTTAATCTCTCAGCTATAACTTGGTGCAAGTCAGTTCCTAAATTTTTAACTTACTTATGGTTCAGTCCCCTCTCTTTTTATTTTTTAATATTATTGTCCTTATCATTCATAACTCATTTCTCAGTCATCCTACATGGCATCTGAGTAGTCCTTATCATCTATGATATTGTTAAAATTGGTCCACCTTAGCTCCACATTTTTTTAAGTTAACTAAAATTTACATTAATATTCGTTCTCGCCTCTGGTCTGTTCGATCTCCCTTTTTCCTTTCCTCTGCTTGCGGCTTCCTCTTGTTCCTCTCTTTTCTTTTCTTTCTTTTTTTTTTTCCATCCACGGCTTCTGCTCCCTGATCCCTTTCTTTAACTTTCAATTCCCCTTTTCTATTCTTTCAGCCACCTTGTGACTCCCTTATATTGAATAAAACTATTATTAATATTAAAAAGATAAAACTACCTCTAGTTCCAAACTTCTATTTACAATTATAGAAGAATAAGATAAATGAGGAAAAAAGAGAACTGGTAAGACACTTAAGGTTCTTTTTACGCAGGTCGTTAGCGGTGCTCTCCAAGTGATGCCCAGTTGAAGCAGAAGAAGCGGTGATAAGAAAATAAGAAAGCGTCTTTGAGTTAGACTGGAGTGGAGTGAGGTACGAGAGAACATCAGAATGTGAATTTGGAGCATTGTTTGTGGCAGCGTGGAATTTGAGGTGGAGCAATTTTTCATAAAGCCGAGCTGTTTTGTTTTCCTCTTCAAGCTCCGCCTTTTTTTTTATACCTGCAACTTCCTTCTTCTTCTTTTTTCCTTTCCCATCTTCGTCCCTGCTACAGTCCTTCCTTCTTCTGTTTTTATATTTTTTCACAAAAAGCTAACCTGAGGTGGAGCAATTTTAACATATCATAGATGACAAGGATAACTCAGATGCCACGTAGGATGACTGAAAGTGAGTTATAGATGATAAGAACAATAATATTTAAAAAAATAAAAAGATAAAAGACTGAGTTATTAGTGAGTCAAGAATTTAGAGACTGAGTCGCATCAAATCGTAATTGAGAAATTGAGTTATAAGTGAGTTAAAAGTTAAAGGACCAAAAGATTAATTTTTTCAAAATAAAATAATATTAATTTTTTACATTAAGAAAAATTACGAAGTATTTTATGGAAAAGGAATTAGAATTCTAGAAAATAAGCTTCTCAGATTCTCTATATCATTACCATTGACTCACTCTCAAAATCTAAAATGAGCAATAAATAGTATGTGTCCTCTTACTAATATCATACTACTATATACGAGAGTGCAGGAAACGAACTTATATACCCAATCCCATGAAGCGAAACAAATTTATGCAGACAGGGACCAGAAACTCATGACAGGTGGCATAATTCTGTGGAATATTTTTATTGATATAGGAGTTTTTTGGGGCCACTGGATCCTCTCCTTTCTTCTTTCCCGCGCACCATCAGACGGAGAATGCATGATTAGATGTCAAAGGAAAACTCCCTCTGGTTTGAATCTACTTTCCTAAACTCTTGGTGTCAAATATTTTTAATAGTGTATGACAAAAAATTCTTTTATGTTCGTTGAAATTAGATTGTTTTGAGACTTTTCATTATTAAAACATATATTCTAGTATAATTTTTAATTATTACCGAAATGCCTTCCATAAAAAATATTCAAGAAAATGGAAACAGACTATGGGAAAAATGCAACACCTTACCTCTATATATACTAACAGGGTCCATTGAATATTTGTGAATCACTAGACGCCAGTGTTCTATTATAAAAATGGCAAAAATTTTATTTTTAAATGAATACACTGACGAGTGATTCACACACTTGAACCCTGCTCCTGCAGCTCATACGACAGACACACAGATTTAAAATAATACTACATTTATATAAGTAGTTATACCAGCTATTCAAGACAATGACCTTTACCTGTGCATCGGAAGTGCATACCTCCTTATGGAGGATACAAAATAGTATAAATACTAGCAAGTAAAGGTTACTTGCTCTTAAACATCTGATAAGTCAGATAATTAACTATCAAAATAATTATTCTATATGTACAAAAGTAGCAGGCATTCTTGCTCTTCATACAATCCCACCTTCAGCTCTTATGACCTCCTTATACTTCAAGCTATTAGCCTTCGCTGTTCATCATAAATGGGAGGGTGAGATTCTAAAGAATCCCTGTAGTAGTAATTTCCATCAAACAAATGTGCAGATTACATAAAGCATGCAAAACAAGCCAAAGTAGAACATAACCTTGCAAGCTACTGCATTTAAGCATTTATGCGCAATGACAGATAGACAAGCTAATTAAATAATGCGCAAATACTTGGCAGATACTGCCCCATGTCTATCAGCTACATGTGATCACGGCTAAAAATCCATGCAAGGAATTAAAGATTACATGTTCTCATGTTTTAGAAAAGCAATATGGCACAAACAGACATGCAACAATCATACACAAGTGTAAGGTAGGAAAGAACTACTACCTGGGCCACTTCCCTCCAAATCAAACCTTACCGTTTTCCTTTCTTTCTGCTTCTTGGTGGGCTTGTACAGATATATAAACCTATCATATTAGTAAAGGTAGATCAATACTTGATCCAACTGTATCTCATAAATTAAGTAACTCTTTAAATCTCAAATCTTCTTTAATCTCTACCCTTTTGTAGTAGCCGGTCATCCTGAACAATTTTTCTTGTTTAAACCATTCTCTTTGGAACGCTTCCTCCCTTATCTCAACCCATTCTCAACCCATAGCGTTACTTTACTTAGTAACTGGTCATCTTGGTCAAAAATTATTTTTGTCTATTATAATTAAGGACAATTCCCATGTCCTTTCTTCCCAGGTGGTTCCACTTTTATCAAGTGGTTGGTCATCATGGAAAAACTAAAGAGATATATATATATTATTTTAATCCTCATTTAGCTTCAATTAACACTTATATTCTAGAGAAACAAGACAGTTTTCTTTTCTCATCAATTGACAACAAATATCTATCTATCATCACAAGCACATCTCAACAATAAAATTTAAATCAACTCCTCTACCTTTCATAATCTAGAAATTATTCCTAACTTCAAGACATCTCTAATCTAAAATACTATCTATAACCTTTGAACCCTCCATCAAAGGCTTCTTTCTTAAACTTTCAGATTTTCCATTTCATTTATATCCAGTATTCAAAACTCAAGTTCATTGCATTCCAAGCCTCACACGTTTCTTTCCTTCCCTCAATATGTGTGTATGTATCACTTTTCACTTCCAATACTTAAATTCATTCAAGCTAATTTCTGGACATCTAAATGCACATAACAGCCACTAC